AGTGTTTTGAAATGTTACTGGTTTTTGTATGATTTTTGAAATCTATCGACCATATTGGCAAACATTAAACTGGATTTTTGAGTCGTATTCTTTCGTTCCATTGGACGATATAGCTGTGTGTAGTAATACTACCCATTCTTGCTTCGATATTTTTTTTATGGTAGCGTCTGTAGTTTATGGCAGTTATTTATAGCGCTTGTGAGTTGACAAAATCAATAACATTTCAAAACACTTAACCGCTGGCAATAGAATTTCAAAAACCGTCAGCTGTTGACATAATTCATATATCTTTCATATTTCTATTAGTACGTCTTCTTATATACATTTTCTTTATATTCTTTTTCTTATCTGTCCACTAATGAATTTGCAATAATCTTGAGACTAAACTAATTAATTTGCTATTAAATTGCTATATATTCTTTTTGTATATGTTTTCTTTAATTGATTTGGTGATCAAAAGACTAATTTTTTGGTGATCACTTCGCTGCTAACAAATTTGGTGATCCTCCCAAAATATATTTATTTACAATGATGATATTCATATTAGAGAAAAAAACTAATACTTAGACGGTAATGTTGCGCATCAATAGTTCGATTATATTTGTATTCACACTTTTCTTTCGTAGTTTTTGTAGTATATGACAGTTGATTGGTACGTCCCATTCATATAGTATACTTTAGATACGAAATTTTGATTGATAAAGGGAAAGTAAAAGATTTTGTTCGTGTTCACTGGACCCAAATACTTTCAAAGTATATTCATGGGTAATGATACCTTTCATCATTGCCGTAGTTGTCTAATATAATTCATAAACTAAAATAGAAGAATGGTTAAAAATATGGTTTCATTTTATCCGAATTATGAGACTATCTTTGATCTTGGATGAAACTTATCCTTTTCTTCCTTCTTAGTATAAACTTGCTGATGTCTTTTGCAGTCTCTAAACTTTGTATTTATCTTTTTTTTGGCCCATAAATCAAAGAGATGCCGCATCTACTCGGAGAGTACACATTGTGTTAGAAAATATCAGAAACTCATGTCCACATATATGATCATTGTATCGTGTATGAAAATGTCGAATTCTTGACGAAGATATTTCAAAGCTTAGTAGTATGAGCTAATATTATGAAAATAAAACAAAAAGTTGTTTAATAATCGCACATTCTATATACTTATGTTTTACTCTTCATGATCAAAACCGATATACATGTTAAGCATACTTTATATTCACACTAGCTTGTAATTTCAAATGAATTGCATTTGAGAGTGAAAAGTAATGTGGATATGGCTATTTAGATAACGAGAAGGTGAGATAAGTTTGTTTGACTGCCAGACAAGAAACACATCAACGAGAGGAAAGAGATTATTAAAATTATCATGCTAGACTAGAAACTATTGTAACGCAAGAGATCGATATTTGTTCTTAATCGCGCTGCGTGTAACAAGTCACAATTTTTTCTGAACTGAAATTGAATTACTAATAAAACAAAATATTCTATAAAACTGAATAATTTACAATTTCTTGATTGCTTAGCTTCCTAATAGTTCTTATTTTTGAGTTCACATTTTCTAAGAGTATACTACGACACTTTCACATTTACAATTGCACTGACAGGACATAATGTCACTTTTTACATAAATTGTCAGTTGTTTTTCTTCTAGATATTTTCTTTGAGCACAAAATGGCAATTAATTGCGAATTTGAATTCATGGAGTATGTGGATGAAGATAACATCGACTCCAATTTAATATGCAGTATATGTCAAAAACCGTTTAAGGAGCCAGTCTGTACACCGTGTGATCATACTTATGGTCGCATATGCATTTCACAATGGCTTGATCAGAATAATCATGATTCATGTCCCATATGCATCAAACAGCCCTTATCGATCAACGATTTTATCCAGGCTAGTCGGCCTTTACGTTGTATGCTCGATCAACTTCGAGTTCGGTGCATCTTGTGCGGAGAAACTAATATTCAGCGAGGAAATTTTGGTGACCATATAAACAAGATATGTCCAGAAGCGATCGTTGAGTGTCAGGCTGTTGATATCAAATGTCCTTGGAAAGGAACTCGAAATAAATTACACGATCATGTGGCTGCATGTATTTTTGAACCATTGCGGCCAATTTTAGCATTGCTTATTGTTCAAAATCGTCAACTTACAGATCAGGTTCAAAAGCATGACAATGAGATAAAGAACCTAAAAGAAAAAGTATCTCAATTTACCAATAGTAAGTAAACAATTTTGTTAATTAATATCTGAATTAAGCATTATTTATGTACAATCTTTGTTTGTTTTGTAGCCGCAAATGCTTCTGATGATGAGAATGATGCCTCATCAGTATCAGAATTTTCTACGGATCAGAATCAGAAAGAGGAAGATGCAATTTTTGTTCGATATTTACCAGCTACAGTCAAATTTAATGATGTATTTGGACTATTTTCAAAAGTCGGACGTATCAAAGTATGTTATCACTGATATTTAAAAAGACGATCTAAAATACAGTTCCCAATGACGAAATCTATCTGGGGTGGTATCATGATGATTGAATAAATTTTTTCTTATTACAATGGAGTTTTTCTAATTTCTTGGTATTTTTCAGTACAATACAAAAACTCAGAAAGCTGATATATTTATTTTTAAAAATCCAAACAACAAGAATGGTCAATGTAATGCCAAAGTGACCTACATGGACAAGGAATCAGCCGCGGCTGCAATTGTCGAATACGATAGTACGTGATACCTTTAAAACGCTTAATACAGTCTGATGTTCGTTTGATTTCATAGATAGACATATTCCATTGTGGAATACTCGTATTAGTGTTACCATATCAAATTCCAGGAAGAAAACCTCGCAACCTGTTGAAAAAGATACTAATGGTAAACTTATTCTATTATTTATATGAATATATTTCGCGAAAAGACTGGTATTCCCGAATCTTGTTAATGAATATCTGAATTAAGCATTATTTATATACAATCTTTGTTTGTTTTGTAGCGACAAATGTATCCGATAATGAGAGTGATGCTTCATCAGTATCAGAATTTTCTACGGATGATAATTATCAGAAAGAGGAAGATGCAATTTTTGTTCGATATTTACCAGCTACAGTCAAATTTAATGATGTATTTGGACTATTTTCAAAAGTCGGACGTATCAAAGTATGTTATCACTGATATTTAAAAAGATGATCTAAAATACAGTTCCCATTGGCGAAATCTATCTAGAGTGGGATCATGATGATTGAATAAATTTTTTCTTATTACAATGGAGTTTTTCTAATTTCTTGGTATTTTTCAGTACAATACAAAAACTCAGAAAGCTGATATATTTATTTTTAAAAATCCAAACAATAAGAATGGTCAATGTAATGCCAAGGTGACCTACATGGACAAGGAATCAGCCGCGGCTGCAATTGCCGAATACAATAGTACGTGATACCTTTAAAACGCTTGATTCAGTCTGATGTTCGTTTGATTTCATAGATAGACATATTCCATTGTGGAATACTCGTATTAGTGTTACCATATCAAATTCCAGGAAGAAAACCTCGCAACCTGTTGAAAAAGATACTAATGGTAAACTTATTCTGTTATTTATGTGAATATATTTCGCGTTTTCACATAGCAGAAAAAACTGGTATTCCCGAAGCACCTAGAGCGCAACCAGAAACTACGAATAAACCTAAAAAAGTTTCCAATGTAGTCGATCAATCACCGATACTAACGAATCCAGACCCGCCAAAAATTAAAAAGAAGTCGGTTTAAAAACATTGTTATCAAAGCCTAATTTTTTCTTTTGTTAACAGATCTGCAAATCATGGTTTTAAATCAATGACTTCGAACTAGACTTGGAAATTTGGACGATATGCAATAAAGAAACAATGACACTACGCATTTAATGATTGAAGGACAATTATTATGTTTTTTGGTGGAAATAAACATTCATTAAAACGAGTTCTAAAAAATTTAAAAGGAAACTTTCATATGTCCTGTATGTTTAGGTCGAGGAATGAGAAAAGAGTCGAAACCTTGCTTATTGATTGTGCTTTGTTTGTATTCCGAAATAAGAAATGTGTGTCATTCTGATGTTCATTTTACTTAAATCAATTCGTTAGCAGTTTTTGACGATCAGTGGGCATCGAAGCAAGTTCTTAGTTGTTTTTGTCACCAATATGTTCTACACTATAGCTTGCCTATTCACGAAATGCATGATAGGATCAATCCCATTCATTTTCTCGAAAATATCAATCGCATCTCGTAAATAAGCATAAACACTATTGCCAGGTGCCCAACGAATAGCAGAAAATTCACCTACATAAATATGAACATAGTAATCGCGTTGCCATTCGATGACAGGTTGTAGGATACGGCGTAACTTCTTTATCCCACATGTTACTGTGACTCGTATTCGGATATGGAACAGGTAGAACATCGTTATAAATGTTCTGATGAACGAATTCGTCCAGTTCCCACATATTGAATGAATAGACCATTTTTATCAAAGGCTAGCGCTTCGAGCTCAGCTGATGCGCTTGGTTCTCCTCCGGATGATGTTTCAACCATAACGGTGTGTTCAGAATCAATGGCTCGAATACGTTGAACAGTTACAATTACCAGTTCATGTCAGTCCATTACACCATCAAAAATAGTTCTTTTGATTGGTTCACTGAGGAGATCGTAATCCCAAATGATTGATTCATTCTTATAGCGCTGTGCTACATTCTCCCATACTTAAGAAAATAGTCTTGAAAACATTTTTGTTGAAACAAACGATATCCATTTTCTCAACTACATTCACCAGGCAGTGTATGTAAATCGACCAGAATATGTATAACCAATTCACGACAGATGGGTAATATTGAATCGAGATGTTAGCTCTAGACCGACCGACGTAAAATACATTCAATGAATATATATTTCCATTGATTGCATTTTTATTTTTGTGTATGTATGGTTTGAAACATCCTTTGGCACACACGGCTAAGCAGACCAAAATTTTTGATATTGTTTGTATTGTACATTCAGCGGTGTAGATGAAGGGTCGGTAGTGTAATACAATGCGTTTCCGGGAATATCAACATCACTGAAACTGAAATATTTTTCATCATCCATCATGATGTAACAATCTTTCGAAATTCGACAGTAGAAACTATCACAATTTCTTTTTTTCTGATCGCTGATGCATCTTGGTGGTTTGATACGTTTTCTTACTCGAACACTGGTCCTTTGTTTCTGATCAACTTCCTATCGGTGGACTACTGATTATTGACCGACACCACTCTTATCACGAATATTATGTGTCATTCTCACCAAACTTTTGTTATTTAACTTTTGTGGACGGCCACTTCGAAGTAAGTCTTTTGTGGTGTTAAATTGTGTATACCTTTGTATAATTCGATATATAGTTGAATAAACGTAACCTTGTTTTTTAAAAAAGATCCACTTAGTTTTAAAGTTGCTACGTCCAACGTCTTTATAGAAATGTGCGACGCGCAAACGCAATGCTTCTCTTTCGTCTTTTTTCCATTTTATCGATAAGTGAGGTGTCGAAACGTATGTAGGTATATGCTTCGGACCATGCTCTTTCTAAAGGAAACGCAATCACATGCCTAGCACGTTCCAACTCCTAGTTATAATGAAAACAAAATTAATGCAGAACTTTTGAATCATCCGTTAAAAAACGATTGATATTTGATTTACCATATATCGAACAATTGTTAATACATCTCCAGTTTTTTTCAAAATTTTGTTTTCTTTGGAATTACTTTCTTTACTGAGGAAATTTGGAAGGAAAACTGAACACATTTTCTTTATGAATGGGCAAAAATTTTAATACGCATAATAAAGTAACAGCAGTAATCTTCATTTTATTGAAATATATATCCGCCCAGTCAAAATAAACGGAAAAGCTTGGTTTTCATCGTTCTCCATGACCATGCATTCGTTCGATCTCATATTTCTACCACTGATAGACCATGCTCGATTCTACATGTGATCAAAATTTCAGCTATATAGCTCAATAATTGACCGAGAACCGTTCCAATCAATCTCAGGTACTTAGAGGTGGTTGCGGGAAACAGGTGTCATTTTCCTCGTTTTTCGAGTGTTTCTTTTGTAGTTTTGAGTGACATGATATCGATCGGTTGCCTGACGAGCGGCATTCACACATACTGACATCTTGGGCAATGTTCACAAAGTGTGTGGACAGTGATTGGTACATCTTTCAAAGAATGAATGAATCATCAAAACGGTTGTGAGAAAACATACGAATAAAAAACCAAGCGGCGGAACAGAGCTACCGCCATTAGTATTCTTTCGAACCTTCCAACGCAATCCATTCATGGCCCCGCATCTATCTCTTAGTGAGCGATGGAGAATCATCACATTACGAAATGATTTTGGATTATCGATGCCAGCTATCGCACATCGATCGAATTACTCGTTATCTACTATTCATCGAATATTGGACTTATTTTCGAAAACAAATGAAGTGGCGGAGCGTGAAGGGAGAGGACGTAAACGACCAATACAAGGTTCAGTTCGACGGCAATTTCGCGAGATTATGCGGAAACATCCTTCAGCGACATCGAAGTTCATCGCCGAGCGATTGGAATCAAGAACAGGTGTATGTTTAAGTGATCGAACGATTCGTCGAACTCGTCGCCAAGAAAATTATCATCCTGTCCATTCAAAAACGCATTGGACAATTAATTCAGCTCAGACCGCGCGTCGATTCCAGTTTTCTGTCACACATTTGTTCGACGATTGGCATGACGTCATTTTTACGGACGAAAAGAAGTTCGAGATCGATCAACGTGGAAAAGTTTATTGGATCCCGATCGGATGCACATCTTAACACGTGTTGAACGCATTTTTACGATTCTTTTTCTATTTTTTCTTACTGGCTCACATTCCTTTATGGACTATTTTTGGCTATTATGTTGTAAGGATATGGATCCTCTAGTAACTTTCTTTCTTCATTAACATTGCTAAACTCGTCGATCTGCATGTCGAAATTGCAACGGAATTTCTGCGAACTTAAAAATTCCATGGAAATTTCGACAAATGCAGAAATTCCACCGGAATTTGTAACAGTTTAGAAATTACTTTGGAATTTCGACATCGTTATCGAAATTTTTGGAATTTTGATAACGCCGTCGAAATTTCAACACCATCAAAAGTAATATCATGGCTTAATTAATTTGATTTATCTAGTTCCTATCTTTTTCTTTATCGTTCGTTTTCATTCATTCACTTTGCTGTTATCATCTTCATGTATTTAACTTCTAGTTATTTCCTTTATCATTCATCTTCGGTATTCACCCCCCTGCATCATATTATGATTTATTTGCTATTGAATAACTGCTGCTAATACTTTCTACGGTGTTTATTTTCTCCCCTATCAAAAATTAAACTTTTCTCAAATTGAATACTACAACTACTGTTACTTACTAACAAATGTTGA